CTCCCTGGCAGCTTCCTTTCTCTCTCTCTCTCTCTCTCTCTCTCTCTCTCTCTCTCACAGGTGCTTTATAGCAAATTTTAAAATAATAATAATAAGTAAAATTAAGTAAATAATTTTTTAAAAAAATATATCCTCCTCCTAGGGCAAGAAGGTGGCTAGGTAGTTAAGGCACTGAATCCCAAGTGACCAGCTCTGAAGTTTAAGTCCTGGACTCAACAGCTTGAAAGACATGTCAGGCCCATGTCTGTGTGTGCCCAAAATGCTGACAGAAGAAGAGAGGGGATTGTTATTTGGCCATCCCCCATCCATTCTTTCTCTTTCCAGCAAATACAAACACACCCTGTGGAAAATATCAAAAGGCAAAAAGCACATCCTCCAGCCCTAGTCAGCCCTTTAGATGATTTCATCTTAACTAAAACTTCATAAAGGGTCCTGAGCTAACACTACTCAGCTAAGCTGCCACAAATTGCTGACCCACAAACTGTGACATAGTGAATGCTTACTGGCTAAATAAAATCATAGCCACTATGAGGGCCACATAGTGGCACAACAGTAAAACCCACATGGGAGGGATACCAGTTTATCTCCAAAGACCTTCATGCATACCCATGTACCCATGTGCCTATAATCTGGGCTGGCTGGGACTGGGGGTGGATCATGGCCTAGGGACTCTGTCACACTCCCCAAGCCAAAGCCTCTCAATCCTATTTCTAGCCTGAATCTCTTTAAGTGGAAACTCAAAAATGGGATTATCAGGTAAAAGGAATAGGAACATTTAATGGTCTTGATTCATTTTGTCAGATTGCATTCCACCATGATCATGTTCATTCAAATCCCATCTCAAAAGTTCATTTTATAAATTAGAATGAATATGCACTTCGGCCTCACCCAAAGAAAATTTTGTTTAAACTTTGAGTCAAAAAAAAGAAAAAGTAACATGTAACTGACTACACCTTGGGTTACCTGGGGGCAGCCTGTACTTTTGGTATCCAAATAACGTACAATCTGAGCTTCAACGCTCTAGTAAGCTTATTCTCATGTGGAGGCAACCATGACAGAAATAATTTAGACTCTAAACATAGCAGACAGTAGACCATAGCATTTAACAAATTGCATGCAAGATTTGAAGACAACATAAAGGAAGTACAAATCAGGAAAGAAAAATCTTAAAATTGACTATAATTTTACTGTTCTTAATGTCCACTGACTATGTCTTGTCGTTGAATTCCCTTACTGGCTCTCCTGCCTTAACTGGGGTTGCCTTCTTGCTTATACTCTTCCCCTCCATTTCCTATATCTGCCCTTGATTATGTCCATGCCCTGCAAGTCTAAATCCTCTAAACCTCAATTCTACCCTACCTTGGATCCCTCCAAAATATATTAAGATATACTCATTTTTCAAGGATGTACATAATGAAGGTAGCCTGTCATAACTAATCAGAAAACATAATAGGTCATCCTGAAGCATTTGGTCTGAATTTCTAAAGCTCGAGGCCTCTCTAAAGAAAATAAATATTATTACAGTGATCTCTCCAGAGCAAATAACTTACCCCAAGACAAACGCCATCTTGCAGCCTTAGATACAAATAATTGCCAGGATTTCACCTTCCATAAACCAAAGGTAGAGAAATACTGAGTTCCAGCCCAGAGTTCCTGCTACGTGACACTTAGTGAAAGTTCAAGATTAGAAGTGAAACAATAAATCTACACAGAGCTTACTATGTGCCCCCATTGTTCTATATTATATAACAGATTGAGATAGAGATAGGTAACTCACAATAACCCTATGTGGAAGATACTATTATTATTTCCCTTTTATAGATGAGGAAACTGAACCAGAAATAATATTAAAATGACTCGCTTAAGACATCACATTAGATAGGACCAGCAGTTGGCATAATGGCTATGTTGCTGGATTCCCATGTAGTCGACCGCGATTTGAGTTCCAGACACGGTGGCTTAAACTCACGCCAGGCGCATGTGTGTGCGTGCCCAAGATCCCGAGAGAAGAATGGAGGAGAAGGGATTGTGGTGTGGCCATCCTGCTGGGGGGTGATTTCTTGCTTTCTGTCTCTCTGTCTCTCTCTGTCTTTCTGGTGAGTGCACACACTCTATAGAAAAAAAAAACACCCCCTATAAAAAAAAAAAAAAAAACTCTCAGAAAAAAAAGACTATCACATTAGAAAGGCCAGCAGATGGCATAGTGGTTACATCACTAGACTCCTCCATAGCCAGCCATGGTGCAAGTCCCGGACCCAGTGACTTGAAAACCATGCCAGGCATGTGTGTGTGTGTGCCCCCAAGATCCCAGGAGGATAATGGAGAAGGGATTGCAGCATGGCCATAATCCCGTGGGGCGGGAGAGGAGCATGCATGATCTCTCACTTTCCCCTTCCCTATCTCTGTCTCTCTGTTCACCAAGCACACGTGCCCTATGGCAAAAACATTATATATATATATACCACACTAGAAATTGACAAACTAAAATCCAGGCAGTCTGCTTCCGAAGTCCCCAGACTTAACTGACAGCAGACATACGCTCAGGAAATAGGATTTCTCACTGCTGCAGTTTCCTTTTGAATTTTGGTGCAGCTGAAGAGGCCTCACAGTCACCGTGTCTCTCACAGCACAGAAGTAGGAGGCAGAGTCTTTTATGTGGAGCTCCTGTAGAAGAAGGTAACTGTACCCATCAGAGCGACTGAGGAATGAAGAAAAAGGACCTCTCCTCTCCAAACCATCCAGAACATTGTAAGACAGAAATATGGGTGCTTTGCCGTCATGTTGCTGGTACCAGGACAGCCCGTTGAACCCAGATATCTGGTACGTGCAGTTGACCTGGGCGATAGCTCCTTCCATGGCCATCAACTCAGTGGGCTGCTCAATGCTTTGTCCTGCAGTGCCTATGAGAAAACACATGACAGTTACCAGCAGCACTCCTGGAAGCCACATCATTATTGAAATGATAGTTTCCAGTCCAGCTCCTTGGGCCAGCAGTAATGCACTGCTCAAGAGAAGCTGGATTTCTATAGTGAAATGGTTCAAATCCCCTTCCTGGTCTGCCTGAAGCACACCAGGCATCCTTACAAGTGCCCAGGATCTGAAGACCTGGAGGAAGGGGTCACAGTATGGCCAGACCCTGTGGAGGTTGCTCTCCTCTCCTCTCCTCCCCCTCTCTCTTTCTCTCACTCACTCTGTCATACACACACACTCTATCAGGAATAAAGAAAAAAATTTTAATATTTTCCATGTGGTCACAAGACTCTCCCATTGATGCGGGAGAGTTCCTTAGATAGAAATAAGCGGTGTTAGTAGTGACAGCAGTAACAGCAGGACAGTCAGCACCACGACACATCAGGAAAGACTCATCACAACTGTCAGACACTGAAGTCATTTAGCTGGAGGGAAATTATCTTGAGAGCCCCTGAGAGTGATATTGAGACTTACCTCCCATCACCAGGGAAACATAAAAAAGAAGAAAGACCCACATCTGCTGCAGCACACCATGAACCCTGCCCTGCCTCTCCAGTTCCCGAGTCACTGGCAGGTGCAGAGGTGAACCCTCCTCGAGGGTGAGGAGGCAAGCTCAGTCTAGATGCACAGCCCAGAAGAAACACCAGAGGAGGAGTTTCTCTCCTGATGGGGTGACTTGAAGCTTCCACGCGAGCAGCAGTGGTCTCCCTTACAGAAGGACATTTTCTGCTAAGAAATCCACAGGTTTCAATTGAACTGGTTCTGGGGAAAACTGAAAAGAAATTTTCAAATGTGTGTCAAAAATAGGCAAAAGACAGAAGTGGCCAATTTCCCCACCCTAAGTGACTCTGTTCTCAAGACAGGAGAAGATAGAAACAGGCAATTAGACGTGGATTGCCTGCGAATGCTGTCAACATGTTGTTTGTTTATTTGCTTGCTTGCTTGTTTATGGCAATAAGAAAAAGATAGAAGAGTTTTTCAACTGCCTAAGATTTCACAGCAGTTGACCACAGATAAAGTAAAAGATCAGAACAGGGACAGTAGATGGTGAAGTGGTTAAGGCACTGAACTCCCACGTGGTCAATGACAGTTTGAGCCCCAGACCTGGCAGCTTGTTTTCTCACTTTCTCTATTTCTCCATGGTCAGTACATATAAATACTATAGTAGATTTTTTAAATACTTTTTTTAAAAAAAATCAAAAGCTATAATATATATGCCTCGAGTCCATATAAATACTATAGTAGATTTTTAAATACTTTTTTTAAAAAAATCAAAAGCTATAATATATATGCCTCTACATACTGTATAAGGGGGGTATTATGAAAAAGCTAAGCATAGATTTTTTTTTAACACTAAAATAAAATTATAATTACTATAATATGTCTGAACAGGATCTATCTAGTCTGAGGCACTAAGAAGGATAAAATGTCAATTCAAAAGAGACTTTATCAAAATAACATGAATTCTGGTAAAATTGAAACAAGAACAAACATCAAATTTATGAAGCTTAAGTGGAACAATGGCAAAATCATAGATGTTTTACGAAAAGTTTATGGGGACAATGCCTCAAAGAAATCAGCAACTTACAAACTGAGAATTTATTTTAAGAACAGACAAGGGGGCCGCCAGGTGACACGGTGTTTAGTGCGCTGGACTTTCACATGGCTGACTGAGGTTCAAGTCCCAAACCTGGTGGCTTGCTTTCTCATTTTGCTTCTCTCTCTCTCTCTCATCAAATTAAAACAAATAATAATAACAAAATTAAATAAGTAATTCTTTAGAGAAAAAGAACAGACAAGGAGTCGCCAGGTGACGTGGTGGTTAGTGTGCTGGATTCCCACATGGCTGACTGAGGTTCAAGTCCCAAACCTGGTCGCTTGCTTTCTCAGTTTTCTTTTCTCTTTCTCTCTCTCTCTCTCTCTCTCTGGTTAAATTAAAACAAATAATAATAACAAAATTGAATAAGGAATTCTTTAAGAAAAAAAAAACAACAGACAAGGGACTGGCAGGTGGCATGGTGGTTGGGGCACTAGACTTTCACATTGCTTACCATGGTTCAAGTCCTGGACCTGGCAGCTTGCATTTTCACTTTCACTCTATCTCTCTCTAGTCGAATTTAAAAGCAATAATAAAATTAAATAAAACAATCCTTTCTTTTTTGAGAGAGAGAGAATTTTGCTATAGGGCATGCATGCTTGCCAGAGAGACAGAGAGAAATCATCCCCCAGGGGTGATGGCCATGCCACAAGCCTTTCTCTTACATTCTCCTCTTGGGATTTTGGGCACACATGCAAACGCACCCAGCATGAGTTTTAAGTCACTGGGTCCTGGACTCAAACTGCAGTCAACTATTTGGGAATCCAACAACCTAACTATGACTCCATCTGCTGGCCCCAAATAAAATAATTCTTAAAAAAAATAAAAGATGGTGGGACCAGCAGGTGCATGGTGATTAAGGCACTGGACATTCCCAGTGTGAGTCTGTCTCTCTCTAGTCAAATTTTAAAAAAAAGAATGAATAAATAAAATTAAATCAAGTTTTTTTAAAAAGTAAAAATAAATAAATAAAAGACAAAATGATGTTGAAGATGACAGCTGTAGTTGTAGACCATTGACATCAATTTTCAAGGAAAAAAATTAATCTTGTTTATGCCCTAATTGTAAAAGACTGCCAATTAACAGTAGAAACAATAGCCAACATCACAGACATCTCAACTGGGTCAGCTTATACAATTTGACTGGAAAATTAAAGTTGAGCAAACTTTCTGCTCGATGGATACCAAAACTATTCACCTAGATCAGCTGCAGACAAGAACAGATCTTTCCATAGACATTTTCAACAGGTGTATCAAGATTCTGAAGAATTCCTCTGAAGAATGGTAATAGGAGATGACACGTGGCTTTACCAGTACAATCCAGAAGACAAGCACAACCAAAGCAATGGGTTCCAAGACGTGGAAGTGGCCCAAGCAAAGCAAAAGCAGACCAGTCGAGAGCAAAGGTCATGGCCACAGTTTTTTGGAATGCTCAAGATACTTTACTTGTTGGGAACCAGCAGTTAGCATAATGGCTATGTCGCTGAACTCTCACGTAGTCGACTGCGGTTCACGTCCCGGACCCGGTGGCTTAGAACTCACGCCAGGTCCCTGTGTGTGCGTGCCCAAGATCCTGAGAGGAGAATGGAGGAGAAGGGATTGTGGTGTGACCATCTCCCCTGGGGAGGTGATTTCTCGCTTTCTATTTCTCTGTCTCTCTCTGTCCGGGGAGCGCATGCACCCTATAGCAAAAAAAAAAAAAAAAAAAAACTTCAAAAAAATCTCAAAAAAAAAAGATACTTTACTTGTTGACTTCCTGAAAGGCTAAAGACCACTATTTAGAGAGTATTCTGAGAAAGTCAGTCAAAACCTTAGCAGAAAAATACTGATAAAGCTTCACCAGAGAGTCCTCCACCAAAACAATGCTCCTGCTCATTCCTCTCATCAAACAAGGGCAATTTTGTGAGAGTTCAATGGGAAATCATGAAGTATCCACCTCACCGTTCCTTCTAGCTTATTTTGTTTTCTAGTTTTAAAGCACTTTTAAAGATCACCCATTTTTCTTCAGTTAATAATGTAAAAAAAAAGTCTTTATTAACATGACTAAACTTCCAGAATCCTCAGTTCTTTGGGATAGTCCAAATGGTTGGTATCATTGCTTATGAAAGCAATGGAGCTTATGCTGAGAAGTAAAGTTTATAGTTTTATCTTTTCCTTTTAATCCCATTATTCCATGAACTGTCTGAAGCTTCAGACAAGACAGTTCATGGAATAACGTATATGTGTTAATATAGAGAAAGAAATATAAAAAATAAAGAAAATCTAACATTAGTTACTTTAGAGGCTTGGAATTAAAGGGGATGGTGAGAATATTAACCTTTTCTTACATATCTCTATTTTGTTTGACTAACTTTTTTAATAAAGTAAGAGATTGAAAGAAAGTAAAGAAAGGGAAGAAAGGAGGAAGACTAGGGGCAAAAAGGAAAGGAAGGAAGAGAGAGAATGAAATCTATATTTCAAACAATTTAAGTGTTATAAAAGGAAACTAACTCTTTTTCACAGTTTTCTAACCAACGGGCCCCTCACATATAGTGTCTTTACTAAATAGATTTATAGCCCTCATGAACACGCTGGATGTGTTTCTATTTGCTGTATAAAGCAGAATATATATTTAGAGGGGCTAGACTTTACCCAGCAGTAAAATGTGACTCTCTGTGAGAGACCCACAAAGACAGGAGCCATCTAGGTTTGCATCTGGACGCCTCCCTGAGTACACTAGGCATACATTTGCCCAAAATCCTGGGTCACTTGAGGCTGGATGTGTATCATGGTGTCAAGACCTTGCAGAAGTGCTATCTCTATGATCCTAGATAGATAGAGATAGAGATAGAGATAGATAGAGATAGATAGAGATATAGATAGAGATAGATAGATAGAGATAGATAGAGATAGATAGAGATAGAGATAGATAGAGATAGAGATAGATAGAGATAGAGATAGATAGATAGAGATAGATATAGATATAGAGATAGATAGAGATAGAGATAGATAGAGATAGATATAGATAGAGATAGATAGAGATATAGATAGAGATAGATAGATAGAGATAGATAGAGATAGAGATAGATAGATAGATAGATAGATAGATAGATAGAGATAGATAGATAGAGATAGATAGAGATAGATATAGATAGAGATAGAGATAGATAGATAGAGAGAGAGAGAGAGATGAGATAGATAGATAGATAGATAGTAGATAGATAGATAGATAGATAGATAGATAGATCTATATATATATATATATTTCTCTTTTGCACTCTCTCAGAAGAAAAAAATAAAAGAATGTAATACTTGGTTTTAACAAAGACGGTAGTGTCATCTTGTGGCCAGATGTAGCACTGCAACTTTACACACTGTGTGTGTATGTGTGTGCGTTGGGAGAAGTGTGTATGTATACATGCACCAAACCTAAACCTTTTCGTCCTGAGTAATGTAGAAGCGAGGTACCTGAGGAATCACCCAGTCTTTGTCCTGCTCCATCATTTTACAGTGGAGGTTCCTGACATTTAAATCGTGCTCCAGGTTTTCATTTCTTCATTTCTAGCCAGTTTCCCAATGTTACGCTTATAAACATTAGCCTTTATAATAAATAAATGAATATTCAAAGGTACTCGCCCTGGCATCTGCTGCTAAGACTTAGTAAAGTCAATTTGATATCAAATCTATTCCTGGTAGCCTTTAATGTAAAATTCATATTTGAAACCTCACCTTTTTTTTTTCTTCCCAGGCATGTAATATGTGTGGCAGTTCATTCATATTATATCCCTCATTCATTCATTCAAATGCATTTATTGAGAACCTACTACGTGTGAGGTAATGTGCTTGTAGTGCTAGAGATTGAGCAAAACTCTCTCCTCTCATGGAAGCTGCATTCCAGTGAAGGAAGATAAATAATAAAAATAATAAACACAGATAGTATTAAGTGCTACTGAGAAAAATGAAGCCACAAGGAGAAAGGAAGGTCACAGAAGTCCTCAGTGATTACATAATGTCTGAACAGAAATCAGAAGGGGTCGGCAAA